TCTATAGATGCGTTAAAAAATGCGTGGCATAATTTATGGCCAGCTGTCATATTTCATGGTGAGGATGATGAAGATGATAGCCACGAATTTGAAGGTTTTTGGACATCGCAAACTAAAGATGAAATTTTCCAGTTATTGGATTTTGTAAAGAAATGTGGAGGAGCGGTAATAAATGAAGATGATATAACAGAAGTTTTTCATTGCGGCGACAATGCTCCAATCATCAATTAATTAACTGACGGCAAAATCTGTAGTATGGTTCTAGATCCAGAGAATACTGCTTTTGAAAGGTGGAACTTTGTAACTGAACAAGAAATTATGTCTGTTTATAGAATTAAAGAGAAAGTATTAGCACAAAAACGAAGCAACTTAAACAACTTACAATGAAAGAAATGTTTAATAAAGTAAACAAATAAATATTAAGTTTTTGTGTGTGTGTGTGTGTGTAAATTTTGATACCTTTTAGATCATAATTGCTCTTTATTTCATATTTTAATTATATAATTTCTGCATGCCATCTTACAAGATTTAAATTGATGATCTATAATCCGGGAAAACCCATAATCCAGAATCGCTTTAGCCCCAAAGAGTCCAGATTACGGACTTTGTACTGTATATAGGTTTTGTCCAACAGTGTGCCTGTCCAGTGTTGGCAGTTCTTATGCTTACTAGGTAACTAGCTTCCAAAGCCTTTTCACTTGAAGTAACTAACACTTGAAAACACATGAAGCCTAACACTTGAAGTTCCAAAGCCTGTTCACCTGAAGTTATTACTTGTTTCTATTTTTGAACTCGTAATTTCCTCTTAAAATATACTTCAGACTTATCCTTTAAATTGGCATGCTTAGATTCAAGATGTGTTAAGTAACAATGGTTCTATACTTTGATTGAATAATAGTTCACTACAAACAACTCACTGAGGTTGAAGGTCCATTTCATTTTCATTCCAAGTAAGCCCAAATGATAAATAACTTTCATTATATTTTCTATAAATGATTTTTCTTTTCTTTTCAATATTCTTAGTGCTAGCAGATTGTCCTGAATCCATTACCTGTGAATCATCACTTTTCCACTGAGTTAATCCTAGCCATTTTTCCATTTTGAAAATCTGGGTTTGTTTTATTATTTTTTCACAAATATTTAAATGTGCAATATGTTACAAGTTCTTCAAAAACAAATGACAATATTCTCAAATCACATAGAAAAGTAAGGAATGAAGAGCAAAAGAATACAAAATACCTGTTGTATCAACATAAACAAACAAACAAAAAATCATTCTAATTGAAAATAGAGCAATATGAGCCTGGAAATGGTGGCGACATTAAGTGTAGACCTACTAATAAATTGATCATCTCTATAAAAATTAATGAGATACTATTATCTTTTTACAGGAACTTGTTTTTCTTTCTTGTTAAATACAACATCCATTTCTATTACTTCTTTTAAAAACAACATTTATGGCAAATTTTGTTATGTCTACAGTTAACAGATTATTTATTAAGGATTATTTTGTTAAAGTCTATGAGCTGCTTGAATAAAGCTCAGTTTGCATACATTTATGAGTATTAGAGAAAAAACTTAAACAAAATGTTGGGATATTTAATTTTAAAAAATAGTTTGTTTCTTTGCATACCACCTATTTTTCTCTTGCGTACCACCGGTTGAGAGTCGCTGGTATAGAGGAAAAGTCACTCCAAAAACCTATGGAGTTCGGACAATCTGTGTCTGTTAGTGAAAAAGTTATTTTATATTTTGCCTAATGAAACTGTAAAATAAGAAAGTACATTGATAAACTGTTTTTATAAATGTATTTTATTATATAAAATATTAAATAATGGTATTTAATAATAAGAAGAAATCTGTATTAACGCGATCACGCTGGTATATATTTCTGGTGGATCACGCTGGAGTCTTCCCATCAGGCGACATACTTTACTAGTGGGTAACTCATAAGACTTCCATCAGGCAGCATGCATCATTAGTGGGTAATGCACAAGTCTCTAATCAGGCAGCGTTCATTGCCAGTGGATCACATTTCAAATATTCGATCAGATGCTGCATACCATTAAAAATATAATTTGTTAATAACTGAAAAAAATTGCCATGTAATTGAAAGTTTAAATAATGGTAATTTAACGCATATTAATTGAAAAACTGTAGAACTTATTTTATTCTAATATTATAAATATAAAACGTAACTAACATAATTGTATATTTATTTCATTGCAATTTTTAAAGCATTTTAAAGAGTGCTGGCTAGCCCTTATAACGATTACAATAGGTCATTACTTTTTTTAGTTTTCTTTGTGTCATACTGTCTATTTTTTCTTTTTTATAACCATAAATCATAACATTGACATATTTTTATAAGAAATTAGTTTATAGTCATGCAGAATAAAATGTATCAAATTAAAAAAGAAACTTGCCAGTGTAAAATTTAAAGTTAGAAAAAACATGCAGTCTTTATTTAGCATAAATTTAAACAAAACTAACGACTTTAAGGTTGATATGATAATTTGATTTAGATCCCTCTTTCTTAGGGGGGGAAAAAGGTTATATATATTGTATTAGTATTAGGTAAAATCAATAACCACAAATGTATGGATAACAGAATAAGATGGAGAATTGTCAGCAAACTGGAGGCATGGTAATCCCAAGCACATGTGGCTGCAGATCTCAATGTAATGCCCAGTGTCATCTGCAATTTGTGCAAATAGTTTCAGGACAGAGATCCATATCGACAAGATATGGATAAGGTTGACCAAGCTCAACAAGCATGAATGAGGATCGTTATTTGGCATTTTGAGTGTTGCGACACTGGCCTGCTATAGCTTTTTATCTCTCACATGAGCTGTCTGCTGCTACTGGAACTCGAGTCTCACAGTGTATAGTTTTTGAAAGGCTTTATGAGATAGAGCTGTATACCAGAAAACCTGCTGTTTGCATCCTGCACACTGCAACACACAAGACAGCACATTTAATACTGTGCAGGCAACATGCATTTTGGACCAGGCTTCTGTGAAGCACTATTCTTCTTGCAGATGAGTCAAAATTCAGCATAGACATTGATTCTTGACATATTTGGTCTATCAGAAAGTTCTGTCCGTTTTTGGAATAAAACAAAATACAAATTTTTCTTACCCTCAAAAAAACTTTAAATGATATAATTGCCATTATTTATTTGCCAGCATGAGGGCAATTTGTATATCTCTTTTTTGAAAAATGTAAGGACAAAAACAAATGATAGTCTGAGAGTGCTAAGTCCAGTAAACATGGTGGATGCGACAGAATTGCCCAGCCAAGTTCTGCAATTTTTTTACGAGTCCCCAAAGCAGCATTTGGCCTAGCATTATCATAATGCAATTTGATGTCCTTCCTATTGAACATCGCCGGCCTCTTTTCTTCGACTGCTATCTTTAAATTATCCAATTGCTGAATATACTTCTCCGAATTAAGCTTCTCGTTCAGTTTTAAAAGCTTATAATGTATTTGTCCTCGAATGTCTGACCATATGCACAACCATTTGCTTATTCAAATTTGGTTTAGAGGTGGAAGAGCTAGGTTTTCCGAGCTCACAATATGCGCTTTTCCTTACGATGTTTTTGTAGATAATCCACTTTTCATCATCCAGTTCGAGAAGGGCTCGATTTTGTTCCAAGCAACCAGTGATGTGCATATGATGACTCGACCATCCAAATTCTTCTGACTAGATTAATGTAGCCCCCATCTTGAATATTTCCACACCAATCCTATCTTCTGAATGTGATCCGAAATGGTTTGCTGTGCTAAATTAAGCCTTTCTGCTATCTCTGATTTCAGAAAAGGCTCTTGCTCCAACGTGGTCTTAACATCGTTGTCAATCAAACATAGTCGCCCCCAATTTGGCTTATCTGAAATGTCAAAATCAACTGTTTCAAATTTTTCGAACCATCTTCTCCATGTCCTATCAGAAACTGTACCTTCACCAAGCACTTTCAATAAATTTCTACATGTGTCTGTAGCATTTCTTCTTTGTTGGAATTCATATAAAATACAGTGGCGTAAATGAACTTTAGCAGTAGCCATGGGTACACTGTCGCTTCACACTTAAGACTAATCTGAATCAACTTTGTTTTTGTTAATTTGCTACATCACTATGTATACATTAAGCGATAAAAATAGAGAGCCGAACATGCTCCAAATAAACGTGCTTACGTGTCGAAAATTGTTGTCACAGAAATGGACAGAACTTTCCAGTAGACCAAATACCTGTATCTGGAGAGCCTGGAAAATGATACCATCCTCCCCTCATCAAAGAAAAGAATCAATATGCTGGTAGATGTGTAATGGTTTGAGCAGGCATTATCTTGAAGAGCTGCACATGCCTGTATGTATTTGACAAAAGCTGCCTGACTACTATGAGATATAGAGGGGAAATCTTAAGACCCTATGTTCAAATTTTCAGTGGCACAGTTGGTCCTGGGTTCCTGTTAATCGATTACAATGCTTATCCACATAGGGCTCAGCTGGTCAACGATTACCTGAAAAGTGTGAATGTTCACTGCATGAATTGGGCAACCAAATCTCCTGATCGTAACCTATAGAGCATGTCTGGAATACTTTGGGAGGGCAATTTTATCTTGTCAACCCCCTCCTAGAACCATCTCATTGAAAACTGGGATCGACTGCTACAGGTACTCTTCAACTGCCTCTTAGCCAGTATGCCATCACGTTGCATGACCTCTGGCTGTGAGAGGAGAAGATTCATAATTTCCAATTCATTATCACAACTTGTGTTTTAAATATCCCTGCAATTTGAGCTTTACTGATAATCATGTGTACATAAAATGACTTTTGAATGGTACATCTGTTTCTCTGTTATAAATGTATATTCAAGCCAAATTTTGTTAAAATCTGCTGATCAGTTTTTCAGAAATTTGGCATAACATACATATTTTCTTAATTTTGCATACGAATATATATATATATCCTATTCAATAACATTGATGAATAAATTTCAGATAAAGAAGAAAATTGAAGAATATGAAAAAAACATGTTAGAACCTTTACCATGGCACTTAACAGGTGAAGTTGCTGCAAGTAGTCGGCCTATTGATAGTCTTGTTCATCAGCAAACAGATTTTGATAGTAATGCAAAACAAGGTAGGGATATTTCTTATGCCCTTTATTCAATACATTAAAAATTTGATTTTATTATGTTAGAATGTTCTATGTATGCATAAAATTTCTGTTACAGATCTTGTTGTTGATAGTGTATTGAATGAAAAAATAGAAAGCATAATCAAAATGGCTATAATTAATAAGGTAAAGTACTTGTTTGGCTGTGTTAAATGTTTTCTAAATTGTGTTTTCTTTGAAAACATTAAAGTTTTATATATCTATTCATATATCCCTCTTTTCCCCATAATTTCCAGTTATGATTTAATATTTTTATTTTATTTTCCCTTTAGTTAAAGCCACTCATTATTTAAAATGCTACATAGGTCATTATGTATTTTCTTAAAACACAACCTTGTTTCCAGTAACTTGGAAGTGCAATGCCCTTTAACTGCGTAACATAATCTTTAAATTTGGTGTTGTATTATTAAGAATATTTATCTAAATGCTTTTATAAGAAAGAGAGAATGTTAGAATTTAATTTTTGTTTTTACAGAAGATGGCTGTTGGTACTACTGTGAGTATTTATGAAAGTATCTATATTTCAGGCATTCAATGACGTAGAAAGGAAGATCAAACCGACAGAAGAAATAATTGCATACAAAAAAGAAATAGTACTTGATCAGACAAAAAGCAAGAAAGGCCTTGCAGAGATTTATGAAGAGGATTATCTAAAAAAGCAGAAAGTAAAATTTTATGGAATTTATATTGTTATATACTATTTATCTATATTGAGAATGAATAGGTGAAAAGGTTGCTTGCACTTGAAATTCTTTACCTTAAAAAAGATATTGTTAATAACTCTTGTAATTCATGTGTTTCACTGTTACAATCTATTTCAATAAGTCTTTAATTTTAGAAAGCACTAAGTTATTAGTCCTAGAAAATTATTGAATGAACCTTATTCTTTCTAATTTATTTTTTATATTAATGTTTTAATATGAATTATAAATTTCATTAAGATAGTATCTTCTACCAAATGACATTTTGTAGAAAATTTGATAAAAACTAGCCCTCCTATTTTTTGTTGTTGTTTTTCTATAATTCTTGATTTTTTTCCTGAAATCTTTGTGAATATTCACTAACACTCGATGTCAACTAGTGGATGCTGTTACCTTTTACTACCTTTCCATTTATCTTAATTTGAAGTATTCTTTTAAAAGAAGATTTTCTGTCATTTGCAGTCTTGGTATAAGTAGTAAATATAGAATCGTGGTGCTTTTATTGTGCTGATTTTACAAAAATATGCTTTATATATAAAAGCACAAAAAATTGGGTACTGTTCTGTTATCAGAATTGGATTAAAAAATTTATAAGTGTATGCATGTGTGTTTGAATGTGTGTGCATATATGTGTATATGTATGTATACATACACATATTATTTTGTGCTGACATATATACATGCATACATGAACATATACATCCGTACATGCATGCATACATTTATATATTTCTGGATCTGGTTCTGATAATGGAACAGTACCAAAAATTGTCTTCATTGAAATATATATGGTTTTAATATTCTGTGAAATAACAAAAAATGCCAAGTTATGTTTCACAAAAAAACAGTTATTTTATTTTCAGTTATCGGTAAGACATAATTAATTGTTATGTAATATTTCATAAAATTTTTGACCGAGATCTTCCCCCCACACACACACACATTATAATTTAAAGAAATGTTTATTAAAACTGGGATAGAAATGTCCCCCAAAAGCAGAATATTTCAAAACAATCTTCAATCTTCCCTCTATATGGAATAGAAATGTGACAGCATAATAGTAGGCAGGAAAAAAAACCTGTTGGCATAGCCATTTTTAAAGAACGTGATATGTGTTAATAGAGAAAAATCCAAAATTCACCAAAAACAAATTAGTATTTGCCAGCTTTGGCACCATAACACAGATTAATTGTTGTCACAACAGACTAAGTTTGAGAAAAGGTTCCCCCCATCAGAGTTTATATTTTGATCATGGGTCTGAGGGATCTACCAAACAATGAAGGTGATGCTATTAGTTTATTACATTGCCAAGTAATCATCAGTATTCCAGTTTTCATATTTGGAGTTCATATGCAAAATATTAAGCGGATTGAGGTTTTTCAAAATGGCAGAACAAAAAACATTGGGGTACAGCAAGACACCATGTGAAATTGAGTTCAGCAGAATTCGTGTGGTGGCAAAAAGTTATAGTTCAGGGTAAATAATCCTTCGAAGTTATTTAGAAGTGATTGCCAAACATTTTCCACTTGTAAAGAAAACTAATTATATCAGTTACTGCCAAAGTTAGCCAATCCTTCATCATTAACACGTATGTACCCAAAACTGTTAATCTTGAAAGATGAAGTGATATAGGTCCATCTTCTTCAGAAACGAAAATATTTTCAAAAAGTGCTCCCCAGTTTTACATTGCACCTTTATATCAGTAGTAATTGAGAAATGTTTCATTTTATTGTTGTTATTTTGTTAAAATGTTTGGTGGAATTTTAAAGTGTGTAAAATATATTAAATGTATCGAAGATAAATTTGCTATCTTTTACTTAATAACTGTATTTTCCAAAATTTCTGTTCATAAACTAATTGCTGATGGAAAAATGTAAATTACTACTACTGCTGCAAGGAATTAAACACATTCCTTCTGTAAGAGGAACAAATAAGTAATAAAAAATAAAAGTCTATAACTTTAAACTATCTGGTTAACCTTCCTTGCTTGACAGCACTATTTTTCTGTGCATGGTTTCCAAGAAATTAGACAAGCTGCTAAAATAAAACTATAGGTATGTAATGATTTCCTGTTGAGATTATTTCTGGCCCAATCTGCTCTACATAACATTGAAGACATTTTTTATTGTTAAGTTACTGTATGTTTAAGGTGGACATAAAATATTGTAATACATGCTTTATTTAAATCATACGAAAATCTTACTGCAAATTTAGCATCACATTGTATATGCATGTACAGTACTGATCCTGAACCATTATGACTTTCGTCCTTGCGACTTCAGACAGCCTGTACCTACTAAAGCATTTCATAAAAAAAAGTTCTTTGCCAAAAAGCTACCCTGCCCCGGGTGTCCAGTAATTCTGACAGAATTTCATTCAAGAATAGTGTGTTAGGTTGTATAATATACAGCTAAATAATTTATGATTCAATTAAGGACTGATACTTTTTTTTTTTTAATCTATGCTTAATCTTCTGTGGTTGTTTTAAGATTTGTAGGGTTTGTTTGTGGGGGGGGGGGTCTAGCAATACTGATATTGGCTTATATTCTTGTGCATGACCAAAAGCTCTTTTATGTATTGGCTAATCGAAAAATTTTCACTTTATTTGATGTTAGTGCCTAAACATTATTTTTTTATCAAAGTCCCTTATTTAGAAATTTTGCAGGCCATTTCGCCATAATCAAACAAACCAATCCATTTCAAAGTTTTTGCTGAGAGTTTTTATAATGTTCATCACTGAAGAGTCATTTGCAAAGGTATATATCGAATCATCAACATATAATAATACTTTATTTGTTCTTTTTTGAATGCAAGTACAGTTAACGTATGTTAATTTTTATCAGATTTCATCAAGTTTTAGATTCTACATACATTCTCATTAAACTTTGTCCTTAAATTAACTTTTTAAACATGTAGGCTCTGTTTTTTAAAAAGTTATAAAACTTTGTTGTTTGATGTAAAATTTCTTTGTCTGTGTCCCCGTTCAGGTAAGTAGTTTGTACACTCTGCACAAAAATAAATGGGACAGTTATATAGCTCCTGTTCTACTGGGCTGATTGATAAAATTTAACATATGTTTTTCATGTCTCAAAAGTGTGGCTTAGGATATATGTTAGAATATATATTAGTTTTATATATAGCATTGTTCTAACATAGGTATTTGGGCACAAAATCATCGGCCTTCTTCTGAAATGACGTACCACTTTTATATTTCGATTCTACAATTCAAGCTATGTCAAAGTGTCAAATTTTGTAAAAAAACCACTCAAGATTTTTTCTTTCCCCCAATGGTGCGCTATAGCCATTTATAGGTATTAGCCACTACTAAGGCCGCACATGGTGGTATCTCTATTACAGAGACCAGTATAAATCTACTTTCTTCTTGATAGGAGCAATAAAAGTGATAGCAAATTGTATTGAACTGTTGCATTTTATTTTGATGAAACACAAGATGAAATAGGAAGTATTGTTTTATGTGTTTCTTATGTAGCTGGTGACTCAATGAGGATCATTAATGTTTCAATGAGGATCATTAATGAATTGATTAAATTAAATTCTCCTATATCAAATTTCTCCCCCCCCATGCAGAATAATGTACCAGTTATGACTGGTCATCAAAAAGGTGTAGTAACTTTTCTGAAAAAACACTAAAAAGAATTAACCATTATTGGTTATCCATGTTACTTAATTTAGCAAACTGCTATACAGTACAAAGTCTTTAATCCGGACTCGTCAGGACTTTGGCGATTCCGGATTAGGGGTTTTTCCGGATTATAGATCCTCTTTATTTCTATAAACAGACATAATTTCTTGTTCAGTTACAAAGTTCCACTGTTCAAGTCCTGTAATTGTGCTGTGCCGTGAATACCGACTAACTTTTCAATCGAATTTTTTTCGTTTTCACTAACCTCTCTGTCACTTTCTTCATGCCTTTATCCATTTTTTGCAGCAATTCCACTTTTTGTTTAATGGACATCGAAACATGCTTTCACTTTAGATCTTTTGGCAGCTCCAGAATCAGAAACTCTTTTAGACATAATCGAAAGTTCAAGCTTACTTTTTATAAAATTGCTCTAACAGTCTGCAAAAAATAATAAGTCGGACCCTATTAGAAGATTAAGGAACAACGCAATCTGCAACATTAACTGAAATAGATAATTAGATAATTTTAGCTGAGCTTATACCATCCATTATACATTAAACATATTATGCACATGCATAAAGGTATTACGCATGTGCAGAAAATTTGTAGCTTTGAGGTCTGGATTATAGATCAATCTTTTCAGATTATGGACGTCTGGATTAAAGACTTTGTACAGTATTAGTTGTAAACACAGATCGAATTTTAGTGGTTGTATTTTATTATTTAAAGTGCTAAATGAAAAGAGGGTTAAAAAACTTCATGGGGAAGAAATAAAAATACTAAAGTATATTGTATATAAGTGTTGCTTAGTAGAGCATTAACGAAGGTAAGAGCCATGTGATCCTTTTTTTTTTTTTTTTTTTTTAAATGCATGTGTGTGTGTGTGAAAGGAAATTAAATAACAAGTTCAAAACTATACATAAAAATTAAAAAAGCATGTTATGATGAACATGTTTCCAAAAAAATGAATCTGACTTTCTGTAGTTTTTTATTATTATCTCTTTCTGAATTTGAAGAATTAAATATGCAACTACAGTCTGCATAACTAAGGACTTAAGGTCTGAAGAAAATGCTTGAGGACTGTCACAAGGGTTTCTTATTAAATTTCTCAAGATTAAAAAAATTTCAATAATTTGACAGGAAAATTTCTTATCATTTGGAAAACCAGATATGGGAGATAAGGAGTTGTTTATTGGAATTTGTACTTGAGAATCACTAAAAAAGTTAAAATATGAGGGGGGGAAAGGAATTTTTGCATCTGTTCAACAGTATTTTACTGTAACTGTATCATCATAAATTTGATGCTTTTCTTGCTATTTTTACGTAATGTTTGATATTTTACAGATAAATTCCCATTTTTACTCACAATAAAGGATGGAGATGATATAGTATAATACAAATTAAAAAAAAAAAAAAATTTTACCATATTCTGGTATGGAGATTCCAAAATGTTTAATAAAGGTATGCTGAATACTCACTCACCTTGAGCTTTTTTCTTTATGTTTCTGTAAATGAGTCTGCAGATGGCGAATATCTTCTTTGCTTAAATCTAAAAATTCATCAAAATTTATAACTGTGATCTAATACTTTGAAAGCATTAAAGTTGCTAGCACATTTTAGAAAATGCATGCACCCAAATATATCAGCCAAAATATTACTATTAAAGTACAGTAGGACAGAGGTAAGGAGACTTTGTGATAGATGCTTTGGTAATTTCTAAGAAAGATGTGCACAGTAAAGATTCCCGAATATGATCTGATCTATAGAGTTTTGAATGCTATCTACCAGCAAAAGTTTTTAGACTGTCAACCCCCCCCCAAAAATTAACAAAAAAGAAGACAGTCCACTCTCTTTTTTCTCAAACCTAAATTTTTGATTTACAAACATGATTTTTTTTATTTTTTTGAAATTTTTTTTTTGTTCATTTTCTTTTCTTATTTCTTTCCTTTTGTGTTTTTTTTCTGCTATTTAACATTTTTTCTTCAAATTTGACATTTCTTTTGTTTTTTTTTTTTTTTTTTTTTTTTAATAAGGTTTACTTATGGCAGATCTATGGTTGCAATCTGGTTGTAACAGCACTGGCACTATACATTTATACTATCTATTATCTGGTTTTTTTAATTGTTTTTACAGATCAGATCTTTAATATTTACGATCTGGTTCAGACCCTTTGAAACATGGAGCATAACAATAACATTGCTACAGAGCCCACAGATGCACTTGGAGAATGAAGATTCATCACTTTGATGTCTATCTCTGACCTCAGATTTATTAATTTCAAGTAATGCTCATATTTCAGTTCCAATCATGGCCATTGAAACATTATTTTTTGCATCTCTTTGGTTGCGCTCATTTTTATATTTTAGTTTTAATTTTTGATTTATTATTTATATTATGATGGATTTTATAGATGAGCAAGCGTTTAATGCATCTCGCACACAAGCCAGGGGGGCAAGAGGACTATGCGCTAGCCTATTAAAGTTACAGTTACAGAGGTAGGAGAACATTTGTGATAGATGCTTTGGTAAATTTCATAAGAAAGATGTGCACAGTAGAAGAATTTCCCGAATATGACAGAATTGCTAAGTTCTGAATGCTGTATCTACCAGCAAAATGTTTTCTAGGACTGTCAACCCCCCCCCAAAAAAATAACAAAAAAAGAAGACAGTTCCACTCTCTCTGTGACAGCACAAACCTAAAAGAAATTTTGATTCTCAAACATAAGCGGGATAATAGATGTTATGAAGTTGAATGTTAAAATTAGTTATTTTTCATTTTCTTTAATAAACATTTCTTTCCTTTTGTGATTTTATTTCTGATTAGTACAATTTTTTCTGCAAATTTGACATTTCTTGTTCTGATTTTTTTTTTTTCCTGAAATCTTTCAATTTTTACCTTTACAAGATTAGAAGGTATGTAGTGCAGATCTTGGTTGCAAGGATTAGTGGTTAGGCTCAGCACTCGACTTTACATTTATACCTATCTATTATCTGGTTCGGGAACCTTTAATTGTTTTTACAGGATCTTTAATTTCATACAGATCTGTGAAGTCTTGCCCTACTTGGCATGAGAAACTCTCACAATAACACAGCATACAGAAGTATTGCTGGCAAGCCCACAGATTACTCACTTGGAGAATGAAGATCATCACCTTGATACATCTCTGATGTCTCAGAAAATCTATAATGCTCATATTTCTAAGTAATAGATCTTCAAGACATCAGTTTTCAGTTCCATGGAAAATAGAATTGAACATTAATTCCCAGCACTTTTCATGCGCTCTTTTGGTATAGTTTTTAGTAACTATCAACTGGAAGCTTTTGGGTTTATTTATTTATTATTTAATATGTGCTGAGCCGTTAGGCATGGCACAGCAAGACAGGGAAGCCCTGTGGAGGATGCTCAGCCACTGATATGCCAAGCTTTTGGGTTTGACTGATGATATTTTTTATTAATATTTTTATAGATTTCTGATGATACCCTGCTGCTTTTATAGGTTTGACTACTGATTTTTATAGATACCTTCTTTAAAAAAAAAAAAAAAAAAAAAGTCTCGCTAGTGGTGCTGAAATGTTGAGATTAAAATCAACACCTTGATTTGGCTGACTGGCTGTTGTCTTTTCGCCCACTCATCCTTCAGGTGTGGAGAAATGGTTATGCTTATTTAATTATGGCAAAGCCTCGAGGGCTATCTACCTACAGGTGTGGAGAAAATATAAGGAATTATTGACATTTCTCCCTTATGTACCTGTAGATTAGTAGTCAACTAGTACTTGGAAGATCTTGACTTTGATATTTCCGTCAGGGCACAGTTTGTTTTTCTAGATTCCTTTTTTAAGAACTTTATGATTTTACATTACTGTCACTTAAGATTTTTTTAAGTTAAAATTTTCTTTTACTAGTTATTTTTATGTTAGATTTGGTATTATGATGTTTTTGGCTAAAAGTTATTGACTTTACCTTTTTAGAAACCAGGAGAAAATGAAAAAGAGGAGGATCCAAAACATAAAGAAATCAAAAAGCTAATGGATTCTTTGTTTCCAGAATTACATGCTTTATTTTCCTTTATACCCAAACCAGTAAGTTTACATGATATATCTTTTATTTCACCTCTGTTACATCAATATGCTTTAAGTCTTGTTAATCTGTAGTATTAATCAGTAAGAAGGTACTTCACTGTAGCATTGGAGGTAATGCAAGACTGACTTTGTAACAAAAATAATTCAGTGAAAATTCTTTCTGCAAAAATTTTATTAATTAAGGTGAAGTTTGGAAAAATATGTCATTCTAATATGACAGGTGAAGCTTAAGTCTATTTGCCTTGAGTTTTTCATTATTCTTAGTTCTTGTCTTTGCTTAGCTGTGTTACTATTAACTTAATTGTGCACAGCTGTCTCAAGGTACACTTTTTTTAAATTGATCTGAAGAATTATTCTGTTTGTACTTCGTGTAACTTTGGGTGATGAATAGGCATCATATTGGCATGTGTATGGTGCTTAGTAATTTTAATTGGATGGAAGAGAGCATTGAGAAAACATTGAGAAGCTAGAAAGTTAATGACTTGAACACTAAGTGCCTGGTATTTTTATCTACAAAAATGTTAATCATTAAAAAACAAAAGTAATTAAAATCTTTTTTTAAATGGAAACAAAAGTTTTTTCATTCAGGAAACAAGGTGAAGAATTATTTTGTTTGATTCTTTGCATTTAATTTGATTAGCTGTGATTATTTATGTACTTATTTTAAAGTGTAAACATTACAGTTGTTGTACGTATCCAAATGATCAGAAGGTTGTTGATGCTTGTTCCTTGATCTATAGCACCAAGATATTTTACTGTACGTTTATTTACAATTTATTTACAAGTCGTATGCCACCTGGCATGTTTACAAGCGTTATGCCTCCTGGCTTGTACATGATAGACATATTCTGCCACCTGGCATGTGAATTGATACATCATATTAGTTTTCTGCCACCTGACAGATACGATGCAATTACCTCAATTAGCGGTAATACGCCCGACATTTTGGCGTGTCCGCTTCCCTTACGTTCTGTAACGCAACTAACTTTTTGTGCGGTGCGCCCTCTGGGCACAAATCACCGCAATCACCGAGGAGGCCAAAACATCCTCCCCCCCCCCCCCCGATGAATTACATTCATCTTAATACAATCTTCAATATATGCAAACAAGTAAATGAAAAATATAGAAACTGAAAACATACAAAAACCTTCAAAAAGTATAAAATTACATGTTACACTTACCAATCTTCTAGCAAAACATCTTATATCTTACTATATTGAAACGTTAACTATGAGGGTTAAACTAGAACAAACAAATAAAATTATTAGTACAATAAGAAATGAAAATAATAATAAAACATATTCAATATGAAACCAAACACTTAAGTTAATGTTCTTCAACTGGTAAAAGACACAGTTTGGTAATAGGACGTTTAATGTCCCCGTGCACAGTTTTTAGTCTAACCACTCGGACATTATTGTCTCTTCCAGGAAACACTTCTATTACTCGCCCGAGTTTCCAACGTAATGAAGGCATATTATCTTCTTTAATGAGAACCAAGTCATTTAGACGAATATTTCTGCTAGGCTGTCTCCATTTGCTACGCTGCTGTAGTTGGCACAGGTACTCTTTAGACCACCGCTTCCAAAACCCTTGGAACATCTGCTGTGTTAGTTGCCATCTTTGCAATGGAGACACTCGTACTTCGGTTAAATCTTGTTCCGGAACAGCTGTTAAAGAAGTCCCTATAATAAAGTGTCCAGGAGTCAAAGCTGTCAAATCATTGGGATCACTGGAGACCGGTGTTATTGGCCTCGAATTTAAGCATGCTTCAATTTGTGCAATTAGAGTTAGAAACTCTTCATAAGTCAAAATTTGAGTTCCAACACATTTCTTTAGATGCAGCTTCATAGATCTAACAGCTGCCTCCCATATACCACCATGATGTGGAGCAGCTGGCGGGTTGAATATCCACCTTATGTTTTCATTTGCTAACCACCTTTGAAATTCTGAGGTTGACTGGACAGATGAAACTGCTTCCTTGAGGATTTTATTTGAACCTATAAAATTAGTTCCACAATCACTTCTTATTTCTTGAGGTTTTCCTCTCCTCGAAGCAAATCGTTTTAGAGCAGCTAGGAATGCTTCACTTGATAAGTCGCTAGCAATCTCTAAATGGATAGCCTTTGTAGCTAAACAAACGAAAATACAGACATAACATTTAATTGGTCTTATACCTCTTCCCCTTTTCATTTTCACAGAAAATGGGCCGGCATAATCAACGCCAACCTTTGAAAAGGTTCTACTTGGAATCACTCTACTTGCAGGTAGTTCTCCCATTAATTGAATAGATGTTACTGCTCGTACTCTGCAACATTTTATGCATTTCCAAATGCATTTTTTAATTTCATTCTTTGCACTTATTATCCAGTATTTCTGTCTTATTGCGGATAACATTAAATGCAACCCTCCGTGTAAATGTTTTTCGTGATAATGCTGTATCATTAATTTTGTGAAGTGATTATTATTTGGCAATATAATGGGATGTTTACTTTCTCTGGTAATTTCTGCGTTTCTTAATCTACCTCCTACTCTTAAAATTTCGTTTTCATCTAGAAATGGATTAAGTGAAATGATTTTGCTTTTAGTTTTAATCGGTTGTTCTGTCTTTAAAGCCTTAATTTCTTCTGAAAATTCATTAAGTTGAACATTTCTTATAATAAATTCTGAAGCCTTCCGTAACTCATAGGCGGTAAGCACACCAGATTGCTTTTCACGAGCGGATTTACAGTTGTTCACGAAGCGCAGAACATAAGCCATTATTCCCAGTACTTTGGTTAAATTTCCGTACAGTTCAAGATTTAGTAACGGTTCTGTAGATTCCACAAGTGTTTTCAAAGTAACACATTTACGTTCTTCACTAACGTTTTGCAAGTCAGCTTCGGTATTCATTTCGTTTATGTGATGTCGAATATCTACTTCTGAAAGCCAGGGTGGCCCAGAAAACCAATCACTATCATTAATTAGAGCTTCAGCATCCATCCCCCTCGTAAGTTTATCAGCAGGGTTTGTCTTCCCACTGCAAAAGTACCAGTTGTTTAAAATTGTTTTCTCCTTGATTTCTACCACACGATTTCTAACAAATTGTTTCCACTCGTTGGCAGATCCCTTGATCCAGTGAATGCAAATTTGGGAATCAGTCCAGTAAAATATATTTCCCTTATCCAACTGCGGAAATATCGATTGCAAAATACGAACCTAATCTTGCAGAAATTAATGTTCCCAAAAGTTCAAGCCTAGGGAGTGTTACCCTTTTTAATGGAGCCAAACGGGATTTCGACACTATGAAACTTGTTTTACATTTATTTTTCTTCTTAAATCTAAAATATGCTACGGCACCATAACACTTGGGACTGGCATCAGAAAATATGTGAACTTCTATAAACTTCCAACACATATCACTGAAGTACTGTCTGGGAATTTCGAAAAACTTTATTTTTTCAACTTCTTTTAACCATTCCTGAAATATGAATTCTGTATCAAGGGGAACACTTTCGTCCCATTGAATACCCTTTTCCCACATAGTTTGCATTAAGAGTTTAATTCGAACAGTAAATGGATTCATAATTCCTAAGGGATCAAAGAGCATACCACATGCTGCTAAAATGATGCGTTTAGTTACTTTGAGATTTTGTAACTTCTCAAACTGAGATACATCTATTTTCAAATTATCATTGACATTGTCCCAGATAAGACCTAAAACTTTCAACGGTACCAAAGAGTCTTCAGATGTTTCACGAGAGTCAATTCCATTAAGTTTCCATAGTTCATTCAGCTCAGGTGAGTTTGAAACCCATCTACGTAAATTCATACTGGCCTCGCTAAGAATGAAAATCATGTCCTTGCTTAAATGTAAGGCCTTTGCTACATTAACTGTCCCAGAAATTAAATCATCTACGTAAAGCTCTTTTAACATACTGCATGCCTCTTCGTAGGCATCTTCATACTTTTTTAAATGCAGTCTTACTGTAGCTGTTAATAAATAAGGTGAGCACTTGACCCCGAAAGGAACTCGATTGTGTTGGAAGAACTTGTAAGTTGGGAATTACTGTGATCGAGATTTGACCCTTCTTCATTTATCCACAAAAACTTTAAAAAATCCCTATCTTCTTTAGCTAAGCCTACCTCTAAAAATGCACGCTGAATGTCGGCACAAAACGCAATTGAATGTACCCTGAATTTAATGATAATCTTTAGCAAATCAGGATTTAAATTAGGTCCGCTTTCCAAACAATCATTAAGTGATAAATTTCCCTTACTTTTAGAAGAAGCGTCAAAAACTATTCGAACCTTTGTAGAATCCTTCTGCTCGCGCACTACCGCGTGATGAGGCATGTAATACCCCGTTTTCAAACTACTATTTAAATACGTATCTACCCGTTCCACTATACCATCTCTCAAGTGTTCATTAATTATCTCATTATATTTTAAATATAGCTCGCTATTTTTCTGAAACTTATTATTTAAAAATTGTAAACGCTGTTTCGCGATTTCATAATTGTTATTTAAACCTTCAACACCCTCTTTCCACAATAATCGAGTTTCATACCTTTTATTCTTGTAAGTTGTATTTCGTTCAAATGACTCTAAAATTTCTTTATCTGATAGAGATATTTCTTTATCCGAACTTATCCCAATTGCTTCTAATTCCCATAATTTTTTAACTCTTTCATAATCTAAGTCCTCATTTACAACGGTTATATGATTAACTCTTGCGTCCTTACACTTTGATCCTTCGTCCTTGCCTTGAATCACAAAACCGAAAGTGCTTTCTGTTGCGACTAATTTTTTACAAATCTTCACGTTTCGTTCTCCTAAAATTTCCCAAATATAATCCGAACCTATTAATACTTGAATTTCGTCACTCGTACCAGCATCTGCTAATTCTATTCCCTTCTCAAACGCCATCTTTCGTATCCACCGAGAAGGAAGGAACTTTTACTTGCCCTAGTGTTATAGAATCAATGACTATTGCGTTAATTTTTATCTTTTTACTGGGA